CGGTCGTGCTTCATAGCAAACTGAGAAGATTTCAGAGGAGAGGACGAAATCCCGAATAAGTCATGGATAAACGATGAAATATTTTGAAGACTCGCAGTGTTATTGCCGTGTTGTAGACGTGCACAATAGCGTGATCCTCTTTTGACCAAAATTTCTTCTTTATTCGGCGACGTCAGAAAAGTTTTGCAGTCGCATCTTAATGGTCTACAATTTTCACTTTTGCAGAAGTTACGTCTCTCTTTAGTAGGAAGAAATTAAGTCATTTCAGTTCGAAATGATCGTGACTTACAGGCTTTGATGTTAACAGGTTTAAAATCAAAGACTTTGAATATTAAACGAAATAATAATAATAAAAAAAAAACTGTTTTTTTTTGTCCGCGACCGAAGAGAAAATTTGGTATTTTTCGTGCCCGACCACTGTATGCTAAGTTGCCACGCCGCCGCCAAAAAAGGCCTGAAAGTTAGACATGCCGTGACTAGACTCGAAACTTTGCTCTGTACCGAGTTCCAGTCAGCAGAAATCCTGTTGGCGATCAAAGAAAATAAGAGTTGAATTACAACGATCAGGGAACACCCAAACCATGAACATCGGCCTCACTTTTTTGAATTTCTAAGTTATCCACTAAACTAACTTCTCTCCCTGAAAATGGAGGGGTTTTACAGAGACTTAACTGACTAAGCCGGAACAACCTTCTTAAACAAGCTGTATTGAGAACAAGACTAAATGAATGCGGTGACATTTCTTAGTTTTTCACAGTTACGACTGAAAAATGCCTCGTACAAAGAATCAAGTCCTTGTCGTTGCCTTCCTCTGCGCCATTGCTTGCAGCTATGTGCAATGTGGTAAGTCTGAGACAAAGTGTTCTTGTCAAAGTGATGTGAAGGCCACCCTTTAACAAGATAACTTTTTACTCGAAGTTTAATGAAAATAAAATATAGTTAAACCATGTTAAACGAGGCGGACTTTCTCAGCTCCCTCCCAAGCTGGTTTACTAGAGAAGCCTCTAGACGAGCAAACATGACTAGAAGACAAAAAGGAAAAACTCAGCTGGGTTGATATTAGTGCTATTCCATTGTCGGCCTTTTCATAGATTGGATCTGTGTTTTTTTTTGGAACAGACAGCATAAAAAAAGAGCCTGCGAAGGCCAGATTGGACTATACCTGATTCCACAAAACAGACTACCCTACTCATAGGCACAATCCCAACTCATCGGACTTATTTTTCTCTCACTCTCCATCTTTAGGTTATGTTTCTGTGGGGTGCTATAAGGATACAGCAAGTCGTGCAATTCCAATATTGGAAGGACTTTCCTCCATCCTGGACGGATCGTACACGCACCGGGTGAACCCCATTGCGAAGTGCGCCGTGGCTGCATTAAGCTGGGGCTTCAACATGTTTGCAGTTCAGCATGGTGGCCAGTGTCTCGCTAGTGCTACTGCACCGCTGACCTTCTACAAGTACGGAAAATCTACAGCTTGTTGGAGTGGCGGCGAAGGAGGACCTTGGGCCAATGAAGTTTATGTGATCAAAGGTACAGCATTTAAATCACAGCTGCTTCTTTAATCACCTTTATTGGCGCCACAACCTTAAACCAACAACTATGGTGGCTAGTCATTTTGACTGTTCGTTCTCTTTTTTTGTCTAAGCCCGCATTAGTTTTAAACAAAACGACTTTAAAAAACCAAGAACCAGTAAAAGAAAACCATTGAGTATACTTTGAATCTGTGGACTCGCGGCTTATTACCTTACTATTTCATGTCTTACAGTGCGACTGCACTTCTTTGAGCTGACAACTGGAAGTTAGTGGAAATTGAATAAAGGAAACAATTGTTGACAAAAGATTCCCGACAAATTAGTGATGCATGGACTCTTTAAGCAAGCTGCACGCTGCAGAAAAAGAACAATAACACTTGGACCGGCACTGACTTTCCATAGGTGATCTTAAAGAAGCAACATTGTAAACTTGAGCAGGACCCCCATGGTCTTTTTCCAAACAATGTTTTTCAGGTGGTAAATTTCTTAAGTTCAGCTTCGACAAAGCACCAACTGCATCAGCAACTGGCTTGACAAATAACTTGACAGTGTACTTCTTTTATGTAATTTCTTGTACTGTCATTTTCTTATTAGGTTGTTTCCATTGGATGCTATAAGGACACAGCAAGTCGTGCAATTCCAATGTTGGAAGGAAAAGATTCTATCTTGGATGGACCTTCTTCTTCTCGTACGAACCCCATTGCCAAGTGCGCCGTGGCTGCAATGAAACGGGGCTACCACATGTTTGCAGTTCAGTTAGGTGGTCAGTGTTTCTCTAGCGCTACTGCTCCGCTGACCTTCAACAAGTACGGAAAATCTACTTCTTGTTGGCCTGGCGGCAAAGGAGGATTTTGGGCAAATGACGTTTATTTTATTGCCTGAAAATGATTAATTAGTATTTCAATACCAGAGTTGACGAAGCAATAAAGATTTTCCTTAGAGCATTCTATTCCTGTGTTGTGTGCGTTTCATTTAGATATTAGCCTGAATTTTCAAATCAGTCTATCTGTCAGTCTTGATTCATTAGCCATCTGAAATGCATGAAAATGAAACATTGCTGATTTCACCTACAGTTTAACTTTTAATGATAATTCACTTTTAGGCTCTACACTGTCAACATCAACCTCGTTCCCAGGGTCCTCTCCTACTCAGCTCCTGTGGCGAGAGAGGGGTCGAGTAGGAGAGGACCCTAGGAACCAGGTTATGTCAACATGTGCAGTTTATCAGGGGATTCAGTTTCGACTAAACAATGTGATAAAGAAGCGAAAGTCGCATCTGTAAACGCTAGCTAGTCTCCATCTCAACTACCGAAGGATGCTTTTCAAAAGGTAAAATGAATTCATTGTATAACAGACAATAACAGACTCAGTTCTCATTCTTGTCGAACCCACGTCACGTGTGATTAAGGTATGAGTATGCCCCAATTGCAAAATTGACCATTTTTCCAAATATTTGTCTCCCGCTTTTTCAGATAGATCTTATTGCGATCTTTTATTTAAAAACATTTCTAAGAAAAAAGGTGATTCCAAGCAAAGATATAAACGAAAAACGTTAATAACGTTTCTTTGCATTTTACAGGTAATGAAGATTACCTCTAATTGAGAGCTGTCAACGGGTTGTCACGAGAAGTAAACTTGCATTAAAGAGTTGGGTAACAGATTGCCGCGTATGTACGATTGTCAAACGATTGTGTTTGGAAGTCAACGAGCTGTTCACAGTGTTCTCCGCTCGTAAATATGTCGTAGAACAAACGCAAAATTCGTGTCCATTTGCAAGTGCGAAGAAAGCACCACAGAGGAAAAAGTCGGAGGAAAAAGTTTCAAGGGAAAAACATTCGATCAGAACTGGGCTGTGCGTTAACTGCTAGCGACAAGTTGGTTGCAATTGATGGGGGAAGGGCCGAAAGGTGTTTGACATTCTCTAAGCATTGCTTCATTGGCGCTTTCGTGAAGAGAATGCCTGTTTTATCAACTCTCAAAGTTTAACTGCGTGCCAAAAACAAACCAGACAAGTAATCAAAATTTCGCGACACTGTTTCTTGGCAGGTTTTTTTAGAGAAAGGTGTCAAGAAGACATAGCGATGTTGATCACATCCTCCCGCTCAAAACCGACCGAAACGAACTTAATTAGAGAACCTCTGTACTTTGGGAAATAGGGCGCTATATCGAAAACCCTTAACTTTTTTTTATTTTAATGAGTATACTTTCGTAATCTACAATTCTTAAGCTTTCAGAAAATATATATTTAATGAAGTTTGCTTCAAACCTCCGACCATAAAGCGGCGCCAGCGAATGATGGTCATTTGGGGTATATTTTTGTAACTTTTCTTGGCTCGAGAGCACGTGCTGAATTTGGGTTGGTGCGATGTGTCCTCTTCAGGCCGTTATCAAAGATTTTAAAAGTAATGACCATGTGTATTGAATGAACCGAATCCAAAATAAAAAAATAAATAAATAAAAACAACAACTAAAACCAATCACACCTGTTGTCATATTGTTGGGTTGCACTGTCACGCAATAAAAGAATAGTTCGAAAACCATTCAACTACAATACGTGAAACAGAGATTGAAATTGCCCGTGGACAAGAAACTGGGGAAAGCAACGAACCCAAGACATGATTTTCAGACCCAGTTAAAAAAAAAAACGGTGCGTCAAGATCACTTAGAAACTTTCTATCTCTCTCTCAAGTATAAAGCGTTTACATGTAACCTTTATTTATTTATTATTATCATTTTGATCGGCTCACTTCCATATTATCTCTTTCACATACACAGAGGTAGCAGAACCTTTCTGAAAATCAATCCGTTGAGTTTTCTTATATTAAACTTTGCTCAAGGTGAGGACAGGTTTATCCCGCGGGAGTTAAGAGCGTGTCTCTGTAACAGCAAGCGGTCCGGCCGATTGTACTTGAGACACAAATTTAGCTCATTTCCTGTGTGTTGTAAGACATTCATGTAGCTATACTAAAACCACAATCCGTTTGATCGGATCTCTTTATCTTTCGGAGTTTTACGGAAATTAAATTTCACTCGAGCGAAGGCCTGTCGTGACACTTTTCAAGACTTAAATTTGGGACAACTTTGGAGGACAATTTACGAAAAACTACGAGACTCAGCAGAAAACAAATACCACAGCCATGTATATTAACTCTACCTTATCTATCGAGGTGACTTTCGTGAACATCGCGTTTCAATCAAGCAAACGTGAGGACTTGAGTGACATTCATTTTCTTTATTTTTGACATTAGAACAGCTTTGGAATCTCAAGATTTAAATGTGAGTTTGAAGAAAGTACAGATTTCCTTAAGTATGGAAACAACCTTGGATACGCTTCATGACACCAGCACGACTAGGATACTGACATGTTACCTTTGCATTTCTCCAAAACTTCCCCAAGGTATGGCGATGCCTATAGCAAATCCACATTTTTTGTTTATTCTCCTGAGCGAGGTGAAATAGGCCAGTCCTTGCACAAGATTAGCTCGTTTTCACTTAGGACCTCTTTAGACAGGTGGCAGCTTATCAGATGACGTTTTACTTCATCATTGCATTCAGACAGCCGTACCAAACCACTTAAGCCACGCGATGAACCACAGTTTTTTCCATCCTTGCTATTCAAAAAGCAGTCCTGAGACATCATAAACGTCTCGCTAACGAACGGCTTCCTCCTGTACTTGTAACTGTTTCCATCGCGATACAAGTGTGGGAGATCTAAAGGAACTCACTATAACTCTGTATACTCGATACGATTTCAATTTCCGAGCCCCAGAGAAGCCTACTGTACTTTGTGAGTGGTCAGTGGTTACGCTCGTGCGGTAAAGAATGGGTTTGTGACTTTTTCACTCAGTTGAAAAGAATCGCGTCACTCTTATGAAATGGCTGGACGAAATACAGACTGCGAGCAGTCTCTTATTTTTCTTAAAGATAGTGAGGTCATGCGTATCCTGTGAGCATGGAGAAGCCGCGAGACGCGAGCCTTGTGTCTCGCGTCTTTGCCGCTCCACGCTCTCGGGGTTGGGCAAAGACAAGACACGTTACTACCAATGTGATACAAGAGGTTTAATGGTTATCTCGATTATCTAAACACATTTTTCTACATGGTAAGATTTGTCTATAAATCTATGGATTGATGCCAGTCCTTTATGGAACGAAATGTATTTGAAAGGAAAAAAGAATACTACGCATAACAAAAGTTGTCTGCAAGACAAAGCATGCATGCCTTCGCATTAAGACTGAGAGTCCTTATGCTTATTATAATACTTTAATGCATATGTTCGAATGTTCCCAAAATTCGTCTGATGATCTGCCCGCAGCCACCCCGCACCCCTCCCCTCGTCACTAAGCCGTACTGTTTTCACTCAGCGGCTGGTCAGCGGTCACGTTTATGAGGTAAACATCGCTTCCTGATCACCGTTCTCGTCGATCAGGAAATCAAAACACCACCGTGATATTGCCTCGAACATGAAGCAGTTATGTTATTCGTACTTCACATTCGAGTCGAAGCTTGCGTGGCACAGGTTATTTCTTATGGTGGAATCGACGAGGGGAATTCGAACACTAGTTGTAGTGTTTGAATTGTTTGAGGGGAGAAATGGTCGCATGGGGATGTAGGAATGGTAAGTTTAACGAACAATTTTAAAATTTTGCCGCTTTAATTGAAAGTAAAGTTTATTTGAATTGCTTTCGTATGTATTTCTAACGGTTTTAGATCTACCTGCTCGATTTACATCTGCTACGCTTCATGTTGACAAGTCCCTCAAAATGGCGGCCAAACTTGGAGATTGCCGTCAATTAGGTAAGTTCACGGAGTTATAAAGTTTTAGTAAAGGTCCGGCCGCAAAGTTTTTTTCTGTAGTTACCTTTTCTACGGCACGTACTTCCTAGCTATGTTAGTTGGATCAGTTAAGAACGCCTCACTTTTTCAAAAATTTACCTTGAATTTGATCGGTATTGCGAACCGATAAGGTGTCAATCAAGTCTTCATGTTTGCTTGATTGAAACGCGATGTTCACGAAAGTCACCTCGATAGATAAGATAGAGTTAATATACATGGCTGTGGTATTTGTTTTTTGCTGAGTCTCGTAGTTTTTCGTAAATTGTCCTCCAAAGTTGTCCTAAATTTAAGTCTTGAAAAGTGTCACGACAGGCCTTCGCTTGAGTGAAATTTAATTTCCGTAAAACTCCGAAAAATAAAGAGATCCGATCAAACGGATTGTGGGTTTTAGTATAGGTACATGAATGTCTTATAACACACAGGAAATGAGCTAAATCTGTGTCTCAAGCAAAATCGGCCGGACCGCTCTTACAGAGACACTCTCTCAATACCCTGATTGCGCAGGTTTTTGCTCTGTTTCGCGCTCCCGATTCAAGCGCCTCTCGCGCTCGTGGTATGCGGCGGGCTACGAGACTAAAAACCTGTGAGCCGAGGCCCAAGTAGAGAGGTATACCGCGAATAAAGCCCAGGACGCGCCCGGTTGACTGAGTGGGTTCTCTGATATTTTATTACCCGGGGTTTTTGCCTAGGCAGCCTGTTCTAAGCTTACGAAAGTTTCTCCTCGAGATCGCTTGTCTTTACGGCATGATCACAAGACGTTTAAAGTAAATATATTTGTTTAGTAACAGACTTTTTGTTCCGTTGTGAAACCATGCCATCAAACACGTGATTTTCCGATTTACGCACGTGAAGGGCTAAAACATGTTACATTTTCTTGGCTCAAGCGTGCGTGCTTTATTTTTGGCAAAGTCGATAATCCAAATATCATTCAATGGACAGATTAACAATGGCTCCTGTCACTGTGTTTTGATTAGGCTCTGGTCTTAGCTTCCGGCGTTTTACCCGATCTGATCTTTCTCTGTATACTGCTAACTCTACCGTGTTCATGATGTCGATGCGCAAAACGATGCCCAAAACGATGTTCATGGTGTCGATGCCCAAAACGTGCCGTTAATCACTATAATCTCTATTGAAGAGTCGTGTAAGATACCAGTAATTTTAACATCACTGCATGAATCTTAACCGTCGAACTTCCGTATTATGGTTATTATTCTTTTGACTTGTTGACTGACCGATAGGTGAATTTGAAAACTATTATTAGCTACAGTTCAGCATAAATACGGCGGTACTTGTAAATTCAAGTGCGAAAAAAGTGGAGCAGTATCCAGCAAAGCTATTGAAGCAGGTAAGCTCTTATCAATTTTAATACAGGTCATAAGCGGATCTCGAAATCGACGTCGAGCCATCGTTAGTGTAAGCATAGTTTTTATCAGTTCTGCTACGGGTTTAAATAATTGATTGGAGTGATAAAATACTGTGAGATGGTGAATACCTTTCGCTTGTCGGTTGTGCTTCACAGCAAACTGAGAAGATTTCAGAGGAGAGGACGAAATCCCGATCATGATAAGGGATTAAATATTTGAAGACTCGTTGTGTTATTGCCGTGGACGTGCACAATAGCGTGATCCTCTGTTGACCAAAATTCCTTCTTTATTCGGCGACGTCAGAAAAGTTTTGCAGTCGCATCTTAATCGTCTACAATTTTCGCTTTTGCAGAAGTTACATCTCTCTTTAGCAGGAAGAAATTAAGTCATTTCAGTTCGAAACGATCGTGACTCACAGGATGTGATGTTAACAAGTCTAAAATCAAAGACTTTGAATATTAAAAGCAATTTTAAAAAAAAAACTATTTTTTTTTGTCTGCGACCGAAGAGAAAATTTGGTATCTTTCGTGCCCGACCACTGTATGCTAAGTTGCTACGCGGCCGCGAAAAAAGCTAGAAATCCTGTTCGCGATCAAAGAAAATAAGATTTGAATCAGAACGATCAGGGAACATCCAAACCATGAACACCTCACTTTTTTGACCTTCTGGGTTATCCAGTAAAGTAATTTCTCTCCCTGAAAATGGAGGGGTTTTACGGAGACTTAACTGACTAACCCGGAACAACCTTCTTAAACAAGCTGTATTGAGAACAAGACTAAATGAATGCGGTGACATTTCTTAGTTTTTCACAGTTACGACTGAAAAATGCCTCGTACAAAGAATCAAGTCCTTGTCGTTGCCTTCCTCTGCGCCATTGCTTGCAGCTATGTGCAATGTGGTAAGTCTGAGACAAAGTGTTCTTGTCAAAGTGATGTGAAGGCCACCCTTTAACAAGATAACTTTTTACTCGAAGTTTAATGAAAATAAAATATAGTTAAACCATGTTAAACGAGGCGGACTTTCTCAGCTCCCTCCCAAGCTGGTTTACTAGAGAAGCCTCTAGACGAGCAAACATGACTAGAAGACAAAAAGGAAAAACTCAGCTGGGTTGATATTAGTGCTATTCCATTGTCGGCCTTTTCATAGATTGGATCTGTGTTTTTTTTTGGAACAGACAGCATAAAAAAAGAGCCTGCGAAGGCCAGATTGGACTATACCTGATTCCACAAAACAGACTACCCTACTCATAGGCACAATCCCAACTCATCGGACTTATTTTTCTCTCACTCTCCATCTTTAGGTTATGTTTCTGTGGGGTGCTATAAGGATACAGCAAGTCGTGCAATTCCAATATTGGAAGGACTTTCCTCCATCCTGGACGGATCGTACACGCACCGGGTGAACCCCATTGCGAAGTGCGCCGTGGCTGCATTAAGCTGGGGCTTCAACATGTTTGCAGTTCAGCATGGTGGCCAGTGTCTCGCTAGTGCTACTGCACCGCTGACCTTCTACAAGTACGGAAAATCTACAGCTTGTTGGAGTGGCGGCGAAGGAGGACCTTGGGCCAATGAAGTTTATGTGATCAAAGGTACAGCATTTAAATCACAGCTGCTTCTTTAATCACCTTTATTGGCGCCACAACCTTAAACCAACAACTATGGTGGCTAGTCATTTTGACTGTTCGTTCTCTTTTTTTGTCTAAGCCCGCATTAGTTTTAAACAAAACGACTTTAAAAAACCAAGAACCAGTAAAAGAAAACCATTGAGTATACTTTGAATCTGTGGACTCGCGGCTTATTACCTTACTATTTCATGTCTTACAGTGCGACTGCACTTCTTTGAGCTGACAACTGGAAGTTAGTGGAAATTGAATAAAGGAAACAATTGTTGACAAAAGATTCCCGACAAATTAGTGATGCATGGACTCTTTAAGCAAGCTGCACGCTGCAGAAAAAGAACAATAACACTTGGACCGGCACTGACTTTCCATAGGTGATCTTAAAGAAGCAACATTGTAAACTTGAGCAGGACCCCCATGGTCTTTTTCCAAACAATGTTTTTCAGGTGGTAAATTTCTTAAGTTCAGCTTCGACAAAGCACCAACTGCATCAGCAACTGGCTTGACAAATAACTTGACAGTGTACTTCTTTTATGTAATTTCTTGTACTGTCATTTTCTTATTAGGTTGTTTCCATTGGATGCTATAAGGACACAGCAAGTCGTGCAATTCCAATGTTGGAAGGAAAAGATTCTATCTTGGATGGACCTTCTTCTTCTCGTACGAACCCCATTGCCAAGTGCGCCGTGGCTGCAATGAAACGGGGCTACCACATGTTTGCAGTTCAGTTAGGTGGTCAGTGTTTCTCTAGCGCTACTGCTCCGCTGACCTTCAACAAGTACGGAAAATCTACTTCTTGTTGGCCTGGCGGCAAAGGAGGATTTTGGGCAAATGACGTTTATTTTATTGCCTGAAAATGATTAATTAGTATTTCAATACCAGAGTTGACGAAGCAATAAAGATTTTCCTTAGAGCATTCTATTCCTGTGTTGTGTGCGTTTCATTTAGATATTAGCCTGAATTTTCAAATCAGTCTATCTGTCAGTCTTGATTCATTAGCCATCTGAAATGCATGAAAATGAAACATTGCTGATTTCACCTACAGTTTAACTTTTAATGATAATTCACTTTTAGGCTCTACACTGTCAACATCAACCTCGTTCCCAGGGTCCTCTCCTACTCAGCTCCTGTGGCGAGAGAGGGGTCGAGTAGGAGAGGACCCTAGGAACCAGGTTATGTCAACATGTGCAGTTTATCAGGGGATTCAGTTTCGACTAAACAATGTGATAAAGAAGCGAAAGTCGCATCTGTAAACGCTAGCTAGTCTCCATCTCAACTACCGAAGGATGCTTTTCAAAAGGTAAAATGAATTCATTGTATAACAGACAATAACAGACTCAGTTCTCATTCTTGTCGAACCCACGTCACGTGTGATTAAGGTATGAGTATGCCCCAATTGCAAAATTGACCATTTTTCCAAATATTTGTCTCCCGCTTTTTCAGATAGATCTTATTGCGATCTTTTATTTAAAAACATTTCTAAGAAAAAAGGTGATTCCAAGCAAAGATATAAACGAAAAACGTTAATAACGTTTCTTTGCATTTTAGAGGTAATGAAGATTACCTCTAATTGAGAGCTGTCAACGGGTTGTCACGAGAAGTAAACTTGCATTAAAGAGTTGGGTAACAGATTGCCGCGTATGTACGATTGTCAAACGATTGTGTTTGGAAGTCAACGAGCTGTTCACAGTGTTCTCCGCTCGTAAATATGTCGTAGAACAAACGCAAAATTCGTGTCCATTTGCAAGTGCGAAGAAAGCACCACAGAGGAAAAAGTCGGAGGAAAAAGTTTCAAGGGAAAAACATTCGATCAGAACTGGGCTGTGCGTTAACTGCTAGCGACAAGTTGGTTGCAATTGATGGGGGAAGGGCCGAAAGGTGTTTGACATTCTCTAAGCATTGCTTCATTGGCGCTTTCGTGAAGAGAATGCCTGTTTTATCAACTCTCAAAGTTTAACTGCGTGCCAAAAACAAACCAGACAAGTAATCAAAATTTCGCGACACTGTTTCTTGGCAGGTTTTTTTAGAGAAAGGTGTCAAGAAGACATAGCGATGTTGATCACATCCTCCCGCTCAAAACCGACCGAAACGAACTTAATTAGAGAACCTCTGTACTTTGGGAAATAGGGCGCTATATCGAAAACCCTTAACTTTTTTTTATTTTAATGAGTATACTTTCGTAATCTACAATTCTTAAGCTTTCAGAAAATATATATTTAATGAAGTTTGCTTCAAACCTCCGACCATAAAGCGGCGCCAGCGAATGATGGTCATTTGGGGTATATTTTTGTAACTTTTCTTGGCTCGAGAGCACGTGCTGAATTTGGGTTGGTGCGATGTGTCCTCTTCAGGCCGTTATCAAAGATTTTAAAAGTAATGACCATGTGTATTGAATGAACCGAATCCAAAATAAAAAAATAAATAAATAAAAACAACAACTAAAACCAATCACACCTGTTGTCATATTGTTGGGTTGCACTGTCACGCAATAAAAGAATAGTTCGAAAACCATTCAACTACAATACGTGAAACAGAGATTGAAATTGCCCGTGGACAAGAAACTGGGGAAAGCAACGAACCCAAGACATGATTTTCAGACCCAGTTAAAAAAAAAAACGGTGCGTCAAGATCACTTAGAAACTTTCTATCTCTCTCTCAAGTATAAAGCGTTTACATGTAACCTTTATTTATTTATTATTATCATTTTGATCGGCTCACTTCCATATTATCTCTTTCACATACACAGAGGTAGCAGAACCTTTCTGAAAATCAATCCGTTGAGTTTTCTTATATTAAACTTTGCTCAAGGTGAGGACAGGTTTATCCCGCGGGAGTTAAGAGCGTGTCTCTGTAACAGCAAGCGGTCCGGCCGATTGTACTTGAGACACAAATTTAGCTCATTTCCTGTGTGTTGTAAGACATTCATGTAGCTATACTAAAACCACAATCCGTTTGATCGGATCTCTTTATCTTTCGGAGTTTTACGGAAATTAAATTTCACTCGAGCGAAGGCCTGTCGTGACACTTTTCAAGACTTAAATTTGGGACAACTTTGGAGGACAATTTACGAAAAACTACGAGACTCAGCAGAAAACAAATACCACAGCCATGTATATTAACTCTACCTTATCTATCGAGGTGACTTTCGTGAACATCGCGTTTCAATCAAGCAAACGTGAGGACTTGAGTGACATTCATTTTCTTTATTTTTGACATTAGAACAGCTTTGGAATCTCAAGATTTAAATGTGAGTTTGAAGAAAGTACAGATTTCCTTAAGTATGGAAACAACCTTGGATACGCTTCATGACACCAGCACGACTAGGATACTGACATGTTACCTTTGCATTTCTCCAAAACTTCCCCAAGGTATGGCGATGCCTATAGCAAATCCACATTTTTTGTTTATTCTCCTGAGCGAGGTGAAATAGGCCAGTCCTTGCACAAGATTAGCTCGTTTTCACTTAGGACCTCTTTAGACAGGTGGCAGCTTATCAGATGACGTTTTACTTCATCATTGCATTCAGACAGCCGTACCAAACCACTTAAGCCACGCGATGAACCACAGTTTTTTCCATCCTTGCTATTCAAAAAGCAGTCCTGAGACATCATAAACGTCTCGCTAACGAACGGCTTCCTCCTGTACTTGTAACTGTTTCCATCGCGATACAAGTGTGGGAGATCTAAAGGAACTCACTATAACTCTGTATACTCGATACGATTTCAATTTCCGAGCCCCAGAGAAGCCTACTGTACTTTGTGAGTGGTCAGTGGTTACGCTCGTGCGGTAAAGAATGGGTTTGTGACTTTTTCACTCAGTTGAAAAGAATCGCGTCACTCTTATGAAATGGCTGGACGAAATACAGACTGCGAGCAGTCTCTTATTTTTCTTAAAGATAGTGAGGTCATGCGTATCCTGTGAGCATGGAGAAGCCGCGAGACGCGAGCCTTGTGTCTCGCGTCTTTGCCGCTCCACGCTCTCGGGGTTGGGCAAAGACAAGACACGTTACTACCAATGTGATACAAGAGGTTTAATGGTTATCTCGATTATCTAAACACATTTTTCTACATGGTAAGATTTGTCTATAAATCTATGGATTGATGCCAGTCCTTTATGGAACGAAATGTATTTGAAAGGAAAAAAGAATACTACGCATAACAAAAGTTGTCTGCAAGACAAAGCATGCATGCCTTCGCATTAAGACTGAGAGTCCTTATGCTTATTATAATACTTTAATGCATATGTTCGAATGTTCCCAAAATTCGTCTGATGATCTGCCCGCAGCCACCCCGCACCCCTCCCCTCGTCACTAAGCCGTACTGTTTTCACTCAGCGGCTGGTCAGCGGTCACGTTTATGAGGTAAACATCGCTTCCTGATCACCGTTCTCGTCGATCAGGAAATCAAAACACCACCGTGATATTGCCTCGAACATGAAGCAGTTATGTTATTCGTACTTCACATTCGAGTCGAAGCTTGCGTGGCACAGGTTATTTCTTATGGTGGAATCGACGAGGGGAATTCGAACACTAGTTGTAGTGTTTGAATTGTTTGAGGGGAGAAATGGTCGCATGGGGATGTAGGAATGGTAAGTTTAACGAACAATTTTAAAATTTTGCCGCTTTAATTGAAAGTAAAGTTTATTTGAATTGCTTTCGTATGTATTTCTAACGGTTTTAGATCTACCTGCTCGATTTACATCTGCTACGCTTCATGTTGACAAGTCCCTCAAAATGGCGGCCAAACTTGGAGATTGCCGTCAATTAGGTAAGTTCACGGAGTTATAAAGTTTTAGTAAAGGTCCGGCCGCAAAGTTTTTTTCTGTAGTTACCTTTTCTACGGCACGTACTTCCTAGCTATGTTAGTTGGATCAGTTAAGAACGCCTCACTTTTTCAAAAATTTACCTTGAATTTGATCGGTATTGCGAACCGATAAGGTGTCAATCAAGTCTTCATGTTTGCTTGATTGAAACGCGATGTTCACGAAAGTCACCTCGATAGATAAGATAGAGTTAATATACATGGCTGTGGTATTTGTTTTTTGCTGAGTCTCGTAGTTTTTCGTAAATTGTCCTCCAAAGTTGTCCTAAATTTAAGTCTTGAAAAGTGTCACGACAGGCCTTCGCTTGAGTGAAATTTAATTTCCGTAAAACTCCGAAAAATAAAGAGATCCGATCAAACGGATTGTGGGTTTTAGTATAGGTACATGAATGTCTTATAACACACAGGAAATGAGCTAAATCTGTGTCTCAAGCAAAATCGGCCGGACCGCTCTTACAGAGACACTCTCTCAATACCCTGATTGCGCAGGTTTTTGCTCTGTTTCGCGCTCCCGATTCAAGCGCCTCTCGCGCTCGTGGTATGCGGCGGGCTACGAGACTAAAAACCTGTGAGCCGAGGCCCAAGTAGAGAGGTATACCGCGAATAAAGCCCAGGACGCGCCCGGTTGACTGAGTGGGTTCTCTGATATTTTATTACCTGGGGTTTTTGCCTAGGCAGCCTGTTCTAAGCTTACGAAAGTTTCTCCTCGAGATCGCTTGTCTTTACGGCATGATCACAAGACGTTTAAAGTAAATATATTTGTTTAGTAACAGACTTTTTGTTCCGTTGTGAAACCATGCCATCAAACACGTGATTTTCCGATTTACGCACGTGAAGGGCTAAAACATGTTACATTTTCTTGGCTCAAGCGTGCGTGCTTTATTTTTGGCAAAGTCGATAATCCAAATATCATTCAATGGACAGATTAACAATGGCTCCTGTCACTGTGTTTTGATTAGGCTCTGGTCTTAGCTTCCGGCGTTTTACCCGATCTGATCTTTCTCTGTATACTGCTAACTCTACCGTGTTCATGATGTCGATGCGCAAAACGATGCCCAAAACGATGTTCATGGTGTCGATGCCCAAAACGTGCCGTTAATCACTATAATCTCTATTGAAGAGTCGTGTAAGATACCAGTAATTTTAACATCACTGCATGAATCTTAAACGTCGAACTTCCGTATTATGGTTATTATTCTTTTGACTTGTTGACTGACCGATAGGTGAATTTGAAAACTATTATTAGCTACAGTTCAGCATAAATACGGCGGTACTTGTAAATTCAAGTGAGAAAAAAGTGGAACAATTTATCCAGCAAAGCTATTGAAGCAGGTAAGCTCTTATCAATTTTAATACAGGTCATATGCGGATCTCGAAATCGACGTCGAGCCATGAGTGTAAGCATAGTTTTTATTCTGCTACGGGTTTGAATAATTAATTGGAGTGATAAAATGCTGTGAGATGGTGAATACCTTTCGCTTGTCGGTAGTGCTTCACAGCAAACTGAGAATATTTCAGAAGAGAGGACGAAATCTCGAAAACGTCATGAATAAGCGATGAAATATTTGAAGACTCGTAGTGTTATTGCCGTGTTGTGGATTTACACAGTAACGAGATCCTCTTTTGACCAAAATTCTTTCTCTACTCGGCGATGTCAGAAACGATTTGCAGTCGCATCTTCATCGTGTACAATTTTCGCTTTTGCAGAAGTTACATCTCTCTTTAGTAGGAAGAAATTAAGTCATTTCAGTTCGAAACGATCGTGACTTACAGGCTCAGTGATGTTCACAAGTTTTAAATCAAAGACTTTGAATATTAAACGAAATAAAAAAAATTGAAAAAAAATTAAAGGCTCTTATGGAAAACAGAAGGGTTTTACAGAGACTGAACTGACAACTGGCTTTAACCCGGAACAACCTAACAGATATGTCGCGATTAACTGATGTGATATTCCTTAATTTTTCACAGTATGGATCGTACAAAGAATCAAGTTTTCCTTTTCGTTGCCTTCCTCTGTGCCATTGTTTACAACTATGTGCAATGTGGTAAGTGTGAGACGTAGTGCTCTGTTCAAAGGCAACTGAAGGACACCCTTCAACTAGAAAGCAACTTTTTAATCAAAGAATGGAAGATGCGAATGCAGCCATAACACTACTGGAAAAATGACCTGAAAAAATTTTTTGGGCTCTGAAAGGGATTCGAACCCACGACCTTTTTAATCAAAGTTTGCAAAAATGTAGCAAGGTTGAACCTTGTCAAATGTGGCGGGAAGTCTGGTCTAACAAGAGAATCCTTTAGACAAGCAAACATGACGAAAACTGAAAATAAAGAAAAAATCAGCTAGCTGAATATCAATATTACTTCACATCGGCCTTTCAGAGATGCCAAGAAATTTCACGGGTAGTTTAGACAGACAACATAAATAAAGACTCTAAAGGTGCTGTCGTAAACTAAGAGGATACGCGGAGAGAAAGCAGAGAGAAAGCCACCGAACTTGGAAAGAGACAAAAGAAGTGGGTGGCGGCTTTGACATCTCCTAGATGTAATTATCTGGAAGCTGCAAAATCCGAGCTATGCAAGATTTTTGGTTTTGTTGAAAATGACAGTGATTATGGAAGCAGTGATGACACAGTGGTGCCAAAAAAAGTGATGACAATGAAAGAGGTGCCAATAAAAGTGATCGTAATGAAATTGATGGCAGTGAAAACTGAAAATCTCCAGGACACAGTGGTACTTCAGAGGATATAGGTCCACCATCCCGGGAAACGTCAAGATGTGCACTTTACCACGAGCCTTTCACTGAATCCGACTGATCTTATCAGTCATTCTGTATGTTTTCGTTGTTGGTACTGTTAGATCGTCAAATCTTCATAGGTCTAAAGATTTTGAAACTAGACTTATTTTCAGACCATTCGTAATAAAGCTGGAATGGTTGTTTAAAGTAGCCCAAAATATTTGCATTTTTAATCGTTAACACAGAAATCAGGTGCCCAGAAAATTGAGACCCTCCTCGAGCGTAAGCGCTCGAAAAAAAAAACATGGCCTTCGCCTACTTAAAAAATGACCGTTTTCTTCCAAAATACCATTGCTCATTACACAATTCTAACATGTCTTACTTTTTCCGCACTTTCCATCTTTAAGTTATGCTTTTAAACATCTAGGAATGTTTCTCCAACCACCACGTTTTTTTTTTGCATAATCACTGTATTGCTGTATTTGTAATCATTAAGTAAGGTTAATGCTCATTGTCATCCCGTTCAGCTCTTCAACAAATTACTGTTAACAATGCAAACCTTCCACTGTTTACAGTGAATGTGTTACAGAGTTAGCTATATTTAACCTATCTCAACAGATTATTGTCCTCGATACGCGACCATTGGATGTTTTCAAGATAAGGGAAACCGCGCCATACCATCAATAGAAGGACAAGATTCCATCTTAGATGGCAGCTACCAGACAAGACGAGACTCCATCGTAAAGTGCTATAAAGCAGCTAAGAAACGAGGATTCCACATTTTTGCAGTTCAAAATGGTGGATGGTGTGCATCCAGTGCTACGGCTGGCAAGACCTTCAACAAATATGGCAAATCGTCGGCCTGCAAGTCAGATGGTAAAGGTGGACCATGGGCCAATCAAGTTTACTACATCACAGGTGAGCGGATAGCTGGTGACACAATCAAGCTACAGTTTAGAAACCTCCTAAGTCGTAAGTCTATGACGATGTCTCTTTGCATTGTTTAAGCTGGTAGGAAGAAATAGAGAAGCTTGGCAAAAGAGTGCATGGAGATAGACTTCATTTCCAGAATCTGTGTGCGTGATCCTGGCACACGTTTGTGAGGACGAAAAGAAGAAATGTAAATCATGGCATATGGTTCTTTAATACTGCTTCTGTTTGTCCATTGTTGTGCAGGTTATGATGAGGTTGGATGCTATAAGGATACTGGAAGTCGTGCAATCCCAACGTTGGAAGGAAAGGATTCTATCTTGGATGGATCTTATTCTTCTCGTACGAACCCCATTGCCAAGTGCGCCGTGGCTGCAATGAGAGCGGGCTACGGAATGTTTGCAGTTCAGAATGGTGGCTGGTGTGCCGCTAGTGCTACTGCTTCCCAGACGTACGACAGGTATGGTAAATCTACGGCCTGCAAAGACGATGGTGAAGGTGGACCTTGGGCCAATCAGGTGTATAAACTTAAAGGTAAATCAAAAACATATCTACCTTACTCTCAACTTAACCGTTTTTCAAATTGCGCAGTTTGGACTAACGAAAGCGCGCATTATCCACTAACAATCACTTCATGGTGTTGAACGTAGTTTACCTCCCGGTTTTCTCTGAGAACTTTTGCCACCAAATTATGATCCATTTGTATCGACGCGGCTGCAATAGTTTGAAATAAAGTCGGTCTTGGCCTCTCAATTGAGTTGTCTTTTTCGTGGAAAGTTTAAAATAGGTGTGT